CACCCACCCACTCACACCCACCCACTCACACCGACCCACCATTTCACACCCACCCATCCCTCACACCCACCACTCACCCACTCACACCCAACCACTCACACCCACCCACCATCTCACACCCACCCACTCACACCCACCCTACTATCTTCAATATTTTGTTTCTCTCCCAGGTAAACTTAACAACTATGTGATGTCAGTTAGCATGTCGGTCAGTGTGCTGACCATTACGGCCACCGGACTTGACCGCTACGTGGCCGTCATGTACCCCGTCCACTCAAGGTCATTTAGGTGAGCGTTCATTTTGCAGTTTTAACAAGAGGCCCAAGAAGACATGTCAGACACCGAGTACAAAGTATGGGGGGTGGGGGGTGGGGTGGGGTGGGGGGTAATGAGAAAAGGGTAGTGTGGACAATAAAGGAAGCAAGATCAAGAGAGCAATCGAATGATATCAATGGTGGAAGTTATTTGAAGAGATGTGGAAACGTTCAGAATAGGAGTACTAATAAGGTAGAAATATAAATCAAGAACTGAGGTGAGTGAAAGAGGCATATCAGAGAACCGAGATGTACGAGGGAAAAGATAAAGAAAGAGACAACGAAAGGGGATGGTGAGGGAAGAGAAGAAAAAAAAGAAGATTGAGAAAGAGAGATAAAGAGAAGGACAAAGGGAAAGAAAAATACAAGGTAAAACAGAGAGAAATAGAGAAAGATAGAGAAAGAAAAATATTGAAAGAAAGAGCGAGGGACAGAGAAAAAGAGAAAGAAAGAGATGGAAAGTAGAGGGAAATAAAGAGAAGAAGATAGTGAGGGGAATTTTGATGAGACTGAGAGTGATATGGAGAAAATAGAGCAATAGATCTAGAGAGATAAAGAAAGAGAGAGAGAACGGGAGAGAAAAAAGAGTGTTAGAAGGATCGATAGAGCGGGACGAAACGGAGAGATAGACAGAAAGAGAGAGAAATAAAGAGAGAGAGAGAGAAAGAGAAATGCGGAGAGACACAGGAAGAGAGAGAGAGATAACTTATGGTTTGTTTCACTGTTTCCAGGACAACCAACAAGGCCGTGGCTGTCATCATCTCCACCTGGGTGCTCTCCCTTCTCATCATGTCTCCAAGAATCTTCATCTACCAGGAAACTCAAATCTTCCACACAGTGGCCAACACGAGGGTCTGCTACCGCGATCACCGGCTCGCTATGCTTCAGTTGGACACGGCCCTCAACTTTGTCGTCATGTACCTCCTGCCCCTGCTCGTGCTCAGCTTCTGCCATTTTCGGATTGGCCTGAAGCTCTGGCATAGCACGAGGCCGGGGGCCCGCAGCCTCCACACCGGGCAGATTGGGATTCTTATCATCAGAGACAGGCGCCGCATTGCGAAAATCGTCTTTGCCATCACGATAGTCTTCGCCCTGGGCTGGCTGCCGATACACGTGTACCACCTGGCGCAGGACTTCAACAACGGACAGGTGCTCTTCGGACAGACGGTCGACCGGGGGACGATCGCCTTGTTCTTCTCTTTCGGGGCGAATTCCCTGAACCCGATTCTCTACTGCATGTTCAGCAGTAGTTTTAGGAAGCATTTCAAGAAAGCCTTCCAGTCGTGTGCGGCCAAATGCACGCCATCCGCGCGAGCTTCGGGCGTCGTGCCGAAGAGACTGGAGTCGGATCAGCCGGAAACTCCAGAATACAGACGCCCTCCGCCAATTCTTCTTCCGCGGCCAGCGTCCCTCCTCACAGAACCCCCGATGCCTTTGACAGTTAAAACATTTTTCCGGGAATTCCCACCCGGTTCTTCACCTGTCAACAACGGTCAGAGAGAACCGCTTCTCAAACACGACATCGGGAATTCAAAAATTACAAATGACACTACGTGCTTGGACACGCGTGGGAGCTCATCGCCGCTCTCTGTCGGGAAGGTTATACATATGGAGGTGGTGGATGAGAGATTGGAAGCCAGCAGGCTAAAAGACCCATCAGCAAGCACATTAGACAGTCCAAAAAAGTATATTTTGTCGTCGACCGGTTCAGAACATTCTGGGATATCGAAGTCGAGGCAGAATGATCACACTCAAACTCACTCAAGTTGTAGTGCGCCCAAAGATGACAACACTACGTCTAAACACCAGGACAAACAGCCAAGGAAGTCTTACAGAAAACACTGGCAGAAAACTTCTCTCGTCAGCAAAGGTCACGGTCTAACAGTTGACAAATATCTTGGCTTGCTTCCGGCCACAGGTTACACCGCACAATCCCCCGATGACATGTTTGATTCTGAACTCAAAGACGAAGCAATGTACTGCACCGCAAGGTTTGGCACTGAAAAGTCTGGTCAGAAATTGGAACATGAAACCGAAACGAGCAAAGTCAAACGGCAACGAGTGTATGTGAAACAAGAGCCGCGCGCTAAGACTGTCAGCACAGTTGTGACCAGCCCAATGACGCCGGTGGACTGACCACTGAGACACGACTGTCAGCACAGTTGTGACCAGCCCAAGGACGCCGGTGGACTGACCACTGAGACACGACTGTCAGCACAGTTGTGACCAGCCCAATGACGCCGGTGGACTGACCACTGAGACACGACTGTCAGCACAGTTGGGACCAGCCCAATGACGCCAGTGGACTGACCATTGAGATAGGTTATAATATTATAATACTATTTCATGAGATATATTAAAATATCAGAATCTTCCACATAAGCAAAGATATCAGTTTAAAAAACTTGCTCAAGTAATACACTCGGTGACACGCACGCACAATGGGGTTCGGTCGGGCATAGCAATTCAAACTGATCAAATTCCAGAACATTAGCAGACAATGAATCTCGAGAGCTATGTTTGTATCTCTGATTTCATCCAACTTTACCATTTGTAGAAGCCATCATTCTTGTGCTATGGTTCAGTGGATTGTTTCCCGGAACCGGAAATTGGTTTGCTCGAATATTTATTTATTTTCTTTCAAAAACCCAACTTCCGGCAACCATTGTTTCCGACTACCGACGCTAAATAAGATGGCCGCGACTGTAGCAGAACCTGAATACCGCCATGAACTTTTATAATATAATGGGTAACATCATATTGCAGTTAGCTAAACAGTAACAGAATTAAAGAGTGTGCAGATGAAGCCTGACTTAAGGCTAGAGAAAATAGAAAAATATACGAAGACTTGATGAATGTATCGTTAGCTTTAAGCAACTTCTCTTTCTCTTTATCTCTCCAGCTTTGTCTCTCTATCTACCTCCTTCTCTCAATATCCATCTCTTTCCCTCCGTTTCACTCTAGCTCTCCATTTTTCGTCTTTATATTTTCTCCTCCCTCCATGTTCCTGGTATTTGTGCCTATATCCAGTCGTCAATGGATGACACATATCGGATATTCTCCTGGGCTATTCAGGTGTGTAAAGAGATGCGATTTTCTATCTAGGTAACCAGCTTAAGAATATTCACAGGCTTTGTGATTGCGTCACTCCATCGTCACACCATCGTCACACGATCGTCATACCATCTTCACACCATCGTCACACCATCGTCAAACCATCGTCACTCCATCTTCGCACCATCGTCACAGCATCGTCACACCATCGTCACTCCATCTTCGCACCATCGTCACACCACCGTCACACCATCGTCACTCCATCTTCACACCATCGTCACACCATCGTCACACCATCGTCACACCATCCTCAGTGGTAGCAGTGTGGTAGCAGTGTGGTAGCAGTGTGGTAGGTCACACCATCGTCACACCATCGTCACACCATCGTCACACCATCGTCACACCATCGTCACACCATCGTCACACCATCGTCACACCATTTTTACACCATCGTCACACCATCATCACACCATCGTGACTCCATCTTCGCACCATCGTCACACCATCGTCACACCATTGTCACACCATCCTCACACCATCGTCACACCATCGTCACACCATCGTCACTCCATCTTCGCACCATCGTCACACCATCGTCACACCATCTTCACAACATCGTCAAACCATCGTCACACCATCGTCACTCCATCTTCGCACCATCGTCACACAACCGTGACTCCATCTTCGCACCATCGTCACACCATCGTCACAACATCGTCACTTCATCTTCACACCATCGTCACACCATCGTCAAACAATTGTCACACCATCGTCACTCCATCTTCACACCATCGTCATACCATCGTCACTCCATCTTCGTACCATCGTCACACCATCCTCACACCATCGTCACACCATCGTCAATCCATCTTCGCACAATCGTCACACCATCGTCAAACCATCTTCGCACCATCTTCACACCATCGTCACACCATCGTTACATCATCGTCACACCATCGTCACACCATCGTCACACCATCGTCACACCATCATCACACCACCGTCACACCATCGTACACCATCGTCACACCATTGTCACACCATCGTCACATCATTGTCACACCACCGTCACACCATCGTAACACCATCATCACTCCAACTTCGTATCATCGTCACACCATCGTCACTCCATCTTCACACCATCGTCACACTATCGTCACTCCATCTTCGCACCATCGTCACACCATCGTCACTCCCTCTTCGCTCCATCGTCACACCATCGTTACTTCCTCTTCACACCATCGTCAAACCATCGTCACTCCATCTTCACAACATTGTCACACCATCGTAACTCCATCTTCACACCATCGTCACTCCATCTTCGCACCATCTTCACACTATCATCACACCATCGTCACACCATTGTCACACCATCGTCTCATTATCGTCACACCATCGACACACCATCGTCACACCACCGTCACACCACCGTCACACCATCGTCACACCACCGTCACACAACCGTCACACCACCGTCACACCACCGTCAAACAATTGTCACACCATCTTCACACCATCATCACACCATCGTCAAACAATTGTCATACCATCGTCACTCCATCTTCACACCATCGTCATACCATCGTCACTCCATCTTCGCACCATCGTCACACCATTGTCACTCAATCTTCACACCATCGTCACACCATCGTCAGACCATCGTCACACCATCGTCACACCATCGTCACTCCAACTTCACACCATCGTCACACCATCTTCGCACCATCTTCACACCATCGTCACACCATCGTCACACCATCGTCACACCATCGTCACACCATCTTCACACCATCGTCACACCATCGTCACACCATCGTCACACCATCGTTACACCATCGTCACACATTGTCACACCATCGTCACACCATCGTCACTCCAACTTCGCACCATCGTCACACCATCGTCACACCATCGTCGCTCCATCTTCGCACCATCGTCACACCACCGTCACACCATCGTCACTCCATCTTCGCACCATCGTCACACCACCGTCACACCATCGTCACTCCATCTTCACACCATCGTCACACCATCGTCACACCATCTTCGCACCATCATCACACCATCGTTACTTCATCTTCACACCATCGTCAAACCATCGTCACTCCATCTTCACACCATCGTCACTCCATCTTCGCATCATCTTCACACTATCATCACACCATCGTCACACCATTGTCACACCATCGTCTCATCATCGTCACACCATCGTCACACCATCGTCACACCATCGTCACACCATCGTCACACCACCGTCACACCACCGTCACACCATCGTCACACCACTGTCACACCACCGTCACACCACCGTCACACCACCGTCACACCACCGTCACATTGTGACGGACGGCGCCAGTAAAAAAAAAAAAAAACTATTGAAACTCTCCATGTTCTTAGAGAGAAAATGACAACGTTAATTAAAAAGTTCAGTCAGTTCAACAATGCTCATTAGAAAGTTCAGTTTGCTCATCAATGTTTATTATAAAGTTCAGTCAGTTCAACACTATTCTATAGAAAGTTCAGTCAGCTCAACAATATTCTATAGAAAGTTCAGTCAGTTCAACAATATTCTATAGAAAGTTCAGTCAGCTCAACAATATTCTATAGAAAGTTCAGTCAGCTCAACAATGTTCTATAGAAAGCTCAGTCAGCTCAACAATATTCTATAGAAAGTTCAGTCAGCTCAACAATATTCTATAGAAAGTTCAGTCAGTTCAACAATATTCTATAGAAAGTTCAGTCAGCTCAAAAATATTCTATAGAAAGTTCAGTCAGCTCAACAATATTCTACAGAAAGTTCAGTCAGCTCAACAATATTCTATAGAAAGTTCTGTCAGCTCAACAATATTCTATAGAAAGTTCAGTCAGCTCAACAATATTCTATAGAAAGTTCAGTCAGCTCAACAATATTCTATAGAAAGTTCAGTCAGCTCAACAATATTCTATAGAAAGTTCAGTCAGTTCAACAATATTCTATAGAAAGTTCAGTCAGCTCAACAATGTTCATTAGAAAGTTCACTCAGCTCAACAATGCTCATTAGAAAATTCAGTTTGCTCATCAATGTTTATTAGAAAGTTCAGTCAGCTCAACAAAATTCTATAGGAAGTTAAGTCAGCTCAACAATGTTCATTAGAAAGTTCAGTCAACATGTGTCAACAAGTTAAAAGGAATGTAATGTAAATTTAACGTGACATCATTGTACGCATTATAACAGTTACATTCGTCATTGTACACATTATAACAGTAGCATACATCATTATACACATTA